TGTGTGTGTGTGTGTGTGTATCAAAGTTTATATAAGATATTGTTCTAGATAGTTTTATGTCAACTTGACACAAGCTAGAGTCTTCAGAGAGGAAAGAGCCTCAGCTGTGAAAATGCCTCTATAATACCCCACTGTAAGGGATTTTCTTAATTACTGATGGATGGGAGATAGCTCAGCCCATTGTGGGTGATGCCATCCTTGGGCTGGTGGTTCTGGGTTCCATAAGAAAGCAGGCTGAGAAAGCCATGGGAAGCAAGCCAGTAAGCAGTACCTCTCCATGATCTCTGCATCAGCTCCTGCCTGACAGGATCCTTCCTTGTGTGAATTCTTATTCTGGCTTCCATTGATGATGAGCAGTGACATGGAACTGTAATCCAAAGAAAGCCTTTTCTCCCTCCCTTGCTTTTGTCGTGGTGCTTCATCACAGCAGTGGAAGCCCTACCTATGACAGATAGAAATGGTGTACTGAAATTATGTGATAAACTACAGATAAATCTGGACAGAAGATAATTAGCTTCCTGTCGTTTCTGTTATCAGCACAATTTTTCTGAAAGTTTCTTGAATTCAAAAGAGCTGGAAATAATGAAAAATGGCAGTAGAAAAGAGTAATGTTATTTTTTAAATATATATTGTTAAAATGAACAGCGTTAAAGTTTCAATTGATGATAGCCCAGCTGTTATGTCCATATGCGTTCAGTGTTTTATGATTAGCACCAAGAATATCTGAAATGGTATGGCTGTGATCCCAGCAGCCTTCACCATATGTTATGAATTTCCCATTTGAAAATGAAGACCCGTCTCATTTGATTTATCTGGTGTGATACACAAGTTGTTCTCTTATAGTCCAAAGCACTGAATCATAAATAGAGCTTGTTAACTGATGGTTAATATTGTCAATACGACAGGATCTTGACTCACCGAGGAGACAAGCCTCCAGTTACCTTTTTGAGAGAGTATTGAGAATAGGTATGCCGCTGAGAATGTCTGTGAGAGATTGTCTTGCTATGTCAGTTTGAGGTGGGAAGACACACCCTAGAGAGGACAGCACCATTTCCCAGACTTGGATAGTGGGTTACACAAAAGTGACTAAGTTCGTTGAGCATTCACCATTTACTGATCTTTTCTTTCTTAGGATGCAGTGTCGCCAGCAGCTTCAAAGTCTGCCATCTTGACTCCCCTGCAGTGATGGACTATGCTTGAATTGAGGTTATTATCTTGAATGTGTTCGTGGAGGTGCAAAGATCCAGGCACTGTGGTTGCACCATTGCTTGGACAGAGGATTCTGAACTGTATGAAAAAGAGACTGCTGGTTGAGTACTAGCAGGCACATATTCATTTTCTTTCTGCTGTTGACTGAAGACATGACTACCTGCTTTGAGTAACTGCACCTTTGACTCCCGACAGTGATGGATTTTAAATTGGAATTGTCAACTTAAAAACAACATCAAAAACACTTTCTCCCTGATGTTGCCTTTGTCAGAATATTTTATTACAGAACCAGAGATGAAACTAGAACAACCTTATCAGTTTTTATATGAGCTATAATCATTAGAAATGATTTTATAACTGCAGAGAGCTGCCCTAAGATCTACCCAAATTCATGTGTGGTAGGAAGCCTTCATCCTGAACGTGGTTTTTAGAGACAGGAAGTCAGGTACTGTTAAATGCAATCTCAAGGGTGGGGTCTTTACCTCAATATCATTGTTCTTGTTAGAAGAAGAGACTAGCAACTGTCTCTTTCCTTATGCCCCCAGAAAAGGCAGATGTCCTGCCTGTGAGACAGAGCAGGAGAACCTTGCTTTCTCTAAGGCTACTCAATAGGAGGAGAGGTTAGACATTATCAGACCCCCCCCCAAAATACTCAAACTGTTTATTTCACGTTAAATCTTTGTTGTAAGCATCCTCTCTCAGTCCTTTGAAATAGCAGAAGCTGTCTTCATCAGTATGTTGGCTTGATTGAAAGCCGCTGGAATCTTCCCCAGTGAAGAGCTGCAAGAGCAGTTTTCTCTGCTTGAAACCAAACAATTACTTCAGGCTGGGCTGAGATGAAGCCTGGACTGGAAGTTGCTGTTCTTGTCTTCACTCTTGATGCTGTTGCGATTCCTGACTCTGTGGAGTCCATAAATGATGTTCAGCCACTGCAAAAGATCTATGTTGGGTAAAGTGGCCATTGCCACTTCCATTCGCCATCTTGTGAGAGTTCCAGGGAGCTGTCAATCAAGCAGCCACTCCTTTCACAGTTTTCCCATCTGTCATCAGGAAGATGTGGTTGTTTTAAAATCCCCCTTAATGCCAAGGGGAGGTTGTGTTCAAGCCAACAACATATAGAAGACACCAGACTGCCCATTGATGCCCCAGATTAGCTCTAGTTAGGGAACCACAGAAACTGAGACTTAGGTAGTGGTGGTAGAGACATGAAAACTTAGAAAGACACTTATATTAACCTCCATATATGTCACCCCCAAGCAGTCCAGCCCCAGCTGCTGTGGATGCCACTAAGGCACATTTCAGCCTACTTTGCAGGAGTGCCTCAGCACCCATGACGGAAGTGCACATGATTAACTAGCTAAGTAAACAGCACTCGAGTCTCCCTTAGGCAGCCTTCAGCAGGACCTTCCTTTTGTGCACTTGTCCTGCTGTGAAACTGGCCCCAGTATGAGCACATCCTGTGGTTTGGGTGTTTAGTTTTGATCTCTTATTCCTGGAAGAGTGGACTGGGCTGGTTGTACACAGAGCAGAAACAGCCAGCCCCAGGGAACACTCAGTAACAGCTAGAGGGTCAAAGAGTTCAGGCGAGCAGCTGGGAGCAGAGACTTCTGGGAGGCAAAGGGTGGTCAAGAGTTGAGAGCAAGGAGGTAAGAGATTGGAAAGCCAGAGATGCTACTGGGACGGCTGCAAATGCCCAAGCTGGAAGAGTTCCAGAAAGCCACCTAGAGCTCTCAGCTTCAGCTGTGAAGAAGGGATCTACAACAGTAATAGCATCCTGAGCTCCTGGGTTCCAGCTTGCAGCATGAGCTACCGATGCCGCGCAGCTGATACTCAGGACTGTAGCACTAAGAGAAAATGTCCAGATGCCCAGAACACGAAACTGCTATCAAAGGGGGAGCTATAAGCTGCCTTTTTATGATTTCCATCCAAATCCAGAGACACCGCTCTGCCAATTAAGAAACTTTGAAATAGTCTTTCCTATTTTTGAGACATTTGAAAATGTTTACTCATTTTATTTCATTTTTAGTCTTTCCCAACACTCTCTGTGTCAATCACTGCTAACTCAGCAGAAGACCAGAAGCAAGGGCAGGGTTCCCAGGAGGTGGTTTTAACACAAGAAATAATGAGAAGTAACAGTAGAGGGCAGAGAACGCCATAAGAAAATGAATAGGGAAAAAATGGTCAAATAAGTAATCATGGTTTCTGAGATTCTTTACATCAGAAGAGTGCGCTCTCTCATTCTTTCCAAGAGTTTTGTGTTATTAGAACATAGAGAGGAATGATTCATGGCCAAGGGCTAAACCAGGATGTGAGCGATATAATTATGAAAGACTGCTGAAAATAGCAAGCCCAAGTTATTTGGGGAAAATGTACTTCGCCTGATTCCTTTTCCTCCCTGGCAATGAATTGCAGGCACAGCTGGTTCACTCCCAATGCAAACACTTCTTGACCATTGTTAAGACCATTATTCCTTGATTTAGACTTAGAAAAAAAATAAATGAGTAAGGGTTAACATTAAAATTAGCATGAGATAGTTATTATTTCTATAAGCTAATGTTTAAATCAAGATATTTTAAAAACAACTTCACATGTGACCCTTTATAAATAAGTTTTCTGCATTTAAAGTCTGTATATGTGATTTTATATATGAGCATACCCATATACTCACCTCTCTATTTTTATGACTGTATATACATCTATACCTGTATACATACATATTCATACAGAGAGATGGGTGTTCAATACTTTATTCAGTAGTATGGACCATGAGAGTGTACTCACAGGTTTTCAAACATACAAAGTGAGCCTTGTAAGCAAAGGGGGAAACTGCAGTTAATCTGTCACTCTTAAAAATCTTACCATACTTATTAATATGTGGGAAAACTTTAAAAGTAGTCAAGCTGCTGAGCATGGAAGGCATTCAAGAAGCAGATGCAGGTGAATCCCCGTGAGTTTGATGCCAGCCTGGTCTACATAGTGAGTTCCAAGACTGCCAGATTTACATAGTGAGAACTTGCCTCAAATAATGGAGAAAAAAAATGTGGAAAGAAAAAGTAGTCAAATGAATATATTCAGCATTTTTAAACTGAGACAATGAGAAAGAAATGTTTTATTTCTTTGTAAAGATGTCATTGATTAGTTTTTTTTAATTTTTATTGAGCTCTACATTTTTCTCTGCTCCCCTCCCTGCTCCCCATTTCAATCTTCCTCTAAGGTCCCTATGCTCCCAATTTACTCAGGAGATCTTGTCTTTTTCTACTTCCCATGTAGATTAGATCTATGTAAGTCTCTCTTAGTGTCCTCATTGTTGTCTAAGTTCTCTGGGATTGTGGTTTGTAGNTCATGATATTTATTGAGCTCTACATTTTTCTCTGCTCCCCTCCCTGTCTCTCTCCTCCCCCTTCAATCCTTCCCCAAGGTCCCCATACTCCCAATTTACTCAGGAGATCTTGTCTTTTTCTACTTCCCATGTAGATTAGATCTATGTAAGTCTCTCTTAGTGTCCTCATTGTTGTCTAAGTTCTCTGGGATTGTGGTTTGTAGGCTGTTTTTTTTTATTGCTTTATGTTTAAAACCCACCTATGAGTGAGTACATGTGATAATTGTCTTTCTGTGTCTGGGTTACTTCACTCAAAATATTTTTTTTCTTGCTCCATCTATTTTCCTTCAAAATTCAAGCTGTCATTATTTTTTTTTTCAGCTGTGTAGTACCACATTTTCCTTATCCTTTCTTTAGTCGAGGGGCATTTAGGTTGCTTCCAGATTCTGGCCATGACTGAACATTTACTCCCCTCCCAGCAACTCTTAAGTCAAAGCTCCAGTCCTTAGTGTGGTATCAACTGGAGGTGGAAATTTTAGGAGGGCATAAGAGTGGTACCCTTCTGATGGGGTGGATTAGTGTCACTATTAGAAGCAAAGAGAGCAAAGCAAAGCCTTTCTCTTCATGTTGCAATGTTCTTTCTCTCCCTTCCTCTCTGTTCCACTCTTTTCACTTCTCTCCCTCTCTTCTTCATGTTACTACACAGTGAGAAGGCAGCTGTCATCAGAATTTGACCATGTCAACTAGCAAACTGATTTCATAACACAGTACCCATAACTATGGCAAATAAATGTGTATTTTTTAAAAATGCTTTTCTTATATGTGTGTGCATATGTGTGCACATGTGTGTGTTTACTTTGTGTGTGCATGTGTGTATGTGCATGTAGGGAGGGTGATAAAGCGTCTCTCACTAAACATGGTGCCAGGAAGTACCAGTCAAATTTTTGTTTCCGTTCTGAGCAGTGCTGCAGGCACGGGTCTGTAAGGGCTCACCCAGCCTTTTACATAACTCAGGTCTCCATGCTTGCACAACAAGTCTTCTTACCCTTTCATCCCCAAGACAAAGATTTGTCTTCTAAATGACCTAGACCATGGCTTTAATTACAGCAGCCTGAGCTGACTTAGAATAGTGTTAACTTAGAATAGCCCTTTTTGTGTGTCATTTAACTAAGCACAGGGAGTCAGTGTACTTCCTATGACCTATTTATCCTGTTACTAAGTTTGGATTGGTTATCAATAGTTCATCTCTTTTAGGGTTGCACCGTCTTTCAAAAAAGATTCAGTAACGGGAGGGTTTTTGCCAGAAATACTGCCTCTAGGATCTTTTCTTTAACGCGGGGTCTCTTATATCACAAACTGACCTCAAATTTACAGTGTATCTAAAGATGACTTTCAATAGGCTTCGTCACCACATCTAGTTTATGCGGTGTTAGAAGCTGAACACAAACTTCGTGAATCTACAGGCAAAAACTCTGCCAATGGAGCTACCTGTCTCAGCCTTAGACAAATCGATCCTTTTCATCCTGACCACCTTTCTTATCAATACCGATAAGCTCACTTTAATGAAGTGTTTGTGGCTGCAGTTCTTAAACTTCTCAGAAGTGCTCCGCCATTAATATTCTCATGGTCACTTCTAACTCTTGTGCCTCTACACACGTCCTAGTTCAAGGTCATTTTCTACACTGTCCTTGCTTATCTTTGCTCACTATCTTCCTCATTGGTCAAATCTTCTTTAAGTTCCGCACCTTGTAAAATGACAGGAGGATCTACCACTCCTGAGAGACAAAGATTCCACGGATTACCTTTTGATCCTTTGTGTGTGGCCAGAAAAACAATTGCTGAGTGATTAATCTGACAGTAGTAACATGATTGGTCACTGGCTGTGACTGTTAGAGTTAGTATTTAACTGGACAGAATATATGTGAGCACCTGGGAGACGGGTGTTTGGGCATGGCTGTGGAGGACAATCTTGGTTATATTTATTGATATGAGGAGGCCATGTCTTAATTTTGAGGGAGAAAATTTCCTGAACAAGAGCTATATACAAATATATATATATATACATTATATACATAAATTTGTGCATGCATATTATGTCATATATGTATTTATACCAACATATCTCATATATAATATATAATACAAACATAAGACCTTATAAGATGGAGAAAATTATTTGACCACTACCAATTATTTATTGTACTCTGCTTTATAAATGCGGATACAATGTGACAGTCTCATTTCTTGGCCTTGCCACCGTGCTGTCCCTGCTACTTCCACATCTTCCCCGCCATGATAGATTATGCCCTCTAGAACTGGAAGTCAAAAAGAAGCCCCTTTTTCCTTCCGTTGCCTTGTTGGGGTATTTAACACATTGGTGGAAAAGTAATAAAGACACTAGTTCTGTATGATTCCAGTACCTGGAAGGCTGAAGAGCTGGTAGGCCAATTTCTCGTTTATGGAGCCACACAAAACTTGAAGAACATTGTTGTGGGAGTGATATTGTTTAAACCATAGTAACTAAAATTTCTGAAAGTCAAAACTATAAAAATCAAACTGGTTTATAGGCACGTACAATCCAAAGGTATACATTATATCTTAGACTATTTATTTAGCTTTAGTCTGAGTGACTAACCTTACCTTTTGCATTCTAGGTAAGCACGCCTACCATTGAGCTGTATGCCAAACACCCATACCATAGTCTTCTAATTCTTTGTTTTCACATATAAAATCATGTCTTCTTCTTTATTAACAAATACAAGGAATGATGTAAAATGTTTACATCTAAATAAAAACCTCATCAGGTCTGCTGATGCTTTAAGTACGAGGAAGAAAGTTCTCTACAGAGCCTGATCATTTTGTGTGTGTAATTGCTACCCGGGGGAGTGGTTATCCTGGTTTAGTTATCAGAGCTGGCTTTTTTCTCATTGCCATTTGTGGAATCTTGGTGTTTAACAGACAGAGTCCTCAAAAACTGTAAGAAATTAAACTCAGGAAGATTTGAATGCAATACTGGAATTTTTAGAAGTTTGCGGTAAATTGAATGCAAATTAAGAACCGGTTCCTCACCCATCTTGGCACCCACCTCTTTATTAGCTTCTTCTTTAAACTGGGGTAGTTCTGGGACATGGTTTGGTCAACTGAATAAGATGGGCAAGTGGCTATGTGCCAGCACACAACACGTTTCTGAATTCTCAAGTCATGCTGCTGAGGCTCCTCAGTTACCTGATAGTTTTCTGAGTAATATAGAGAAGATACTAGATTCTCAAGACATCCACGACCACGTGGTCTGATAACTTTCATGTACATAAGGAAAGTTATGTGTTTTTTAACTATCATTTAGTCAGTACTAAATGTGAATCTTTTGATATCTAGAACCATATTTTTATAAAATGCTGGGTGAAATGAAGGCTGGATTTTCCTTGGAGATATTGCTTTGAGATAAGGAAACTTGATTAAAATGAAGAGTTACTGTGTAGCTTGGATGAGTTTTTCTTTTCTCAAGAGAAAAATAACACTACCAGTCTTTGACCAATGACAAATTTATAAGAATGAAATGCAAATGTTTTTATTGTGTAAAGGTGTGGCCAATATCGCCTTTCTAACAAATGTCATGGATTTTGATTCTCATTGGAACAGTGGAGGTCCCAGTGTGCCCACTCATCTATGTTTCCTTGTTTGTAATTGTTTGGGTAACTCATGTGAAGAAAGGCAGTCTGACTTTATAATTAATGAGTCACAAGAATAACAGTTTAGGGAAACACAATTTATCATCAATCAACCATATCCTATGAAATCATTGAACTAAAAAAACAACTGTAATCTACACAGAGTGACAAGAGAGAAAAATTCAAGTATTCATCTTCTTGACTTGAGATCTGATCACTTGTAATCTGGAATAACATGCTGCCTTGATTTGTATTTCTGAAGATTTATAATTCATAGCATTCATTCATAAAAAAAGCAAATTGTGAGATTCATGTTTCCAGTGTGAAAACAGAATCATTTGTCGCCTGTTGAGGTGACCTTTCAGAGCACATCCAGAGCTTGACTGATGATGCCCATAGGAACAGGATGAAGGGACATCTGCCTCTTAGTTGCTTGTCATTCACAGGAAGAAGAGCAGCTATAAATTGCATTCCTGTTTGGTGTCCAAAGTCATTTCCAGAAGTTTATGATTTGTAACTACAGAGCTTGACAGGATCCCAGGATGATTTGTGGAGTGTAAGGACCATTTACCTGAACTAGAAGAAATCAAAATGGCCAATTTGGTATACTTTTAAACACTCTCCAGCCAATATGAAAACTCTTAACTCTATGCACATTAGTGATCATTCTTTATTCCTCTACCCCAATAAAGACCAATCCATGAGGAAAAGGAAATTTATTTTTTAATTTAATTTTTAAATTTTTATTTGAAAAATACAATACACAGCAGAGAATTATTTCCTCCCCCACTGTTCTCTCACAAAGGAAGCTATGGAAAATGTAACCAAGATATTTGGCTAGGACAGATCCTGAGAAAAAGAGAGGCCCAGTTAGAAGTTGAATAGACAAAGTCTGTCAAAGAAGGTTCACTTTTCTTTTAACATAAAAGACCCTTTTAAGTTACCTTAGGCATCGGATAAGACTTGTGCGGAATTTCTGCCATGCAAACAGAGGCTACTGAAGTTTCAGTTGGAACAATTTACACTAACGTGGGCCCGAAGGAAGAGGAATAAAAATGAGGGTCTCTATTGGAAATGTATGGGATTACCTGCTTTTACTAGACTATGTATGTACATATGTATATTTTGAGATTAGTGCTTTCTTTTACAAGTCCTGCGGATTGAACCCAGGGCCTGTGCATGCTCAGCAAGTGCTGCACCACCGAACACCAGCTGTTGTCATGGTTTTAACGATTTTCTCAAATATATTTTCTATTATTCTCAGTAATAGCATCATGGTTAAGTAATCTTTGCTGAGTTTGGTTTGTTCTCACTCAACTTTAATTTTTCCTGGATTTCATAATTGCACAACCTTATTGATGCTTAAATAGTAGGAGTGATTTTCACTCTGATACTGTTTCGTTCTTTAATTCATAACTCTTTTAGAGTGACCAGGTTTAGGAAGGTGCAAAAAAATCTTCACTGACCTTGACGTTTTTATATAATAGTTTCCAAGGGAAAACCATTCTTTCTTGGGTCCTTCTAAAGTGGCTGTAGAACCACCAGAATTAAACAACTGTAGAAGCCCAACTAGCCACCCGGCCTTTGCTTGGTATTATGCTCATACCCTTTATTCCAGAACCGAACTGCCCATTTCTAACGCTTTCTAAAACAATGCCTTTAAAAGGTCAAGACACAAAAGCTAGTTCTAAATTGCCAAAAGAATTGAATTGCTGTAGAGATTTCAATTTTTATAAAAAGGGAATTTCTTTATTTGGCTCTTAGTGGAAGTGTTTTGACTCCTGCAGGATTGGAATTGGACAAATGAAATCCATCTGTAAGTAACGGACAACTCTTTGGTTTTAATTATTTGCTGATTAGAGGGTAAATTAGTTGTTTACTTTCAACTATTTTTCAAGACTAGAAAGATTTTTTTAAATCAGTTTCCACACATATAAGTCAAAGTATCTTGGGTTAGCTTTAGAGATGCCAAATGACTCTTTGCTTGATTCTCCTTCTATTCTTTCTTTTTAGTTCCACGCGGGTACTGTAAAGTTGGTCCCCTGGCCTCTTTCCTGAATGGCAGCTGAGGTACAGAATGAAGACACTGGACTTGGGCTTCCCTTTTACAAAGAGCCTCACATCCAGACACTGGAATTATGAATAGAACCCTAGATAGCTCTGTGTTTGAAAAATGTGTTTATGTTCATTGATATAAGGTAAACATTTAAAATACTGCAGACTTTCTGTAACTCTATCTCGGCATTTCTTTATTTTTTTTTAACATAGGTAGTTTATCAGGACTCTTATGGCCTCATAAGGCCTCAATGTCATGAATGTTGAGGCAGTTGTGGCATATTTAAGGGGAAAAATGCAAATTCAGAGTAATTCTGAATTTCAGCTTTTTTTCTCTCTGCTTGATTAGAGGTATGGGATTGGGCATGTTATCAGTCTTGGCTTCATTTTTTCTTGTGTGTAAATAAAGCCATCTTTCAATATTTGTACAGGATTACTGTGAGGATCAAATGATAAAGTAAATATAAATACATATTAACTAAATTATTAGACAATTACAAAAATACATTAATCATATTTCTAGCATCTATGTAATTGTATGGTAAGATGCAGTTCCTTCCCACTTAAATTATTTGAATTCTTGATCAGTAAGAAAGCTTATGATTGGACTACAGCCAATCTTGAGACACTGTTAATGATGGAAAGTTACTCAATAATATGGTATCATGGCTGGTTTGCCTTAATCTATTCCAAATATTGCTGCATTTCAAAAACTGCAACTCAACCATTAAATCACAAGTGTCAAAGAAAAAGTCCAAATAAATAATTTTAATTATGATACATTACTTAGTGACAATAAAAATTGGCAATTTCCCCTTTAAAAGCAGAAGCACCAGTCTTAGAATGTGTAGTATGAATGGTATTTTAAGTGAAATACAGAATAATATAATGAGCAAACAATTTAGTATAGGACATACTTTCTAAATGTAAAATGATTTCACACGCTGAAATCTGTTAGAATGGAAAAAAAATGTCATGCTGCATAATAAAAAAGCCCCCATGACTTTCAAAATTAACTTCAAATTAAATATGCTGTACTGTTGAATAGAGATATGAAAAATTAAAAAGGCTTAATGAGTCCAAAATAGAGGGTTTCTCTTTTATACAAATATAACCCACATGGAGATTTCTTTTCACATAGTCACAGAGATTCTTTTGAGAAACTAAAGCGACTATTTTATTGAAGAATTAAATTTGTTCATTTTTGTCATCATGTTTGTACTGAACACCCACACTTAGTGCTAGGTGGTAGGTGTTGGGGATACAGGAAAGAAAGCCATGGTCCTGCTCTTGAGGAGCTCACAGTCTAGTGGGGGACCAAGGGGGGTGGAGCAGAGAGGGTGCTATTGAGTTTTAAATTTATAAAAAGTCTCAGACAACTTTATAAATTTTCGTGTAACCAAATAAACCTTCTTATGAATGGATGGTAAAGAGGGATGACGTCCAGTGCAGGGAAAAACCATCTGCTTCAATATCATGTGACTTCCGCAAAGGCAGTGATGTGGTTCTGGAAGAGAAAAGGGAATTCCAGAGTCAGAGTCCTGCGGAAACTGATTCTATAAAGTACTTAGCATTTTTGGACAAATAGCACATATTAACTTAATAAAGACTTGAGGCCCACATGCATGTTGCCAAAACACACAGTGTTGTTAAACTCACTTCTCTGTACAGTTATGTAATGTTAGCTAATCATATCTTTTATTCAGGATTCTTAATTAACGGAATAGATTAAAATGTTATACCTGCTCTGCTCAAAATTCACACTCAAATTTGCGTGGATAAAAAATGGCAATGCCAGATGCATTAATATTCTGTGGCGCTGTTCATGGGACTTCAGTGTGCAGGCTGTAGCTTCCGACTAATTGCTCCCTGTGAGTCAGATGGTGTAGAGTGGGGTGGGCAAGTGTTCCAACTGAAATAGCATTCGTTAGTTGACAGAGATCTACTTAAACACTGCACTTTTGATGCATAAATTCAGGCTCCACACCAAAATCTGGGTTTGTTGTTGTTTTCATTTTTTTATTTTTTTGACTACAGAATTATTGACAGCCTCCAAATGCTTTTTGCTTCTTTTGCTTTAAAAAAAAAAGCCATCAATTATAGAGACATACACTTTTTAGAACGGCTAATGTTGAGATCGATTCAGGCATGTAATATGGATGCCATAGATGCTGACGTATTGTAGCAAAAAAAAATTGACATTCTATGATTAATCCTGAAGTATGTGGAATTATATTAAGGTCTAGAATAAATGGCAATCTCGTATCACAGCAACATTAGAAAAGGGTTCTCTCATCACCACTGCCCGTTCAAAGTGCTTTTCATAGCAGATATGTTCAGAGTTACAGAGATAGAGACTTAGGTGTGACCATGACAGAGTTAAAGCCCAGGCAGATGAAGAATAGAATTTGCTAAGTATCCATTAGCAAGTGTTCTTTCAAGTTCACATCACACCAGCAGGCAAAATACTGAGGCTTGTCCTTGAGTGCAGGGGTCCCCTGGGGAAATAATCACTGTGTGCCTTAAAAGTCATTTCAGATCCTGAAATTTAGAAAATTTAAGACAATTTTGATATTCTGCGTGTCAGAGCTTCCAGACACAGGTGCTGGGAACCTAGGGCTCCACCAGCGCAACAACTGCTCCTAAGTCTCTCCGGGCCAATCTAAGTCCAGTTTTAAGGCTTCAAATTCTATGTGAAAATCTTCATTTTACTATGTACTTCTCTAGGCAGTGTAAACATAATCAGAATGGCATGTAAGTCAAGACTCATTTATTTATGACACGAAAATTTAGTGGTGGCTTCCTACTTGACAAGATCTGCTACTCACAAAAAGAAAGACAAAAGAACACTCCTGATAAGTAGTCATAAACAAAAGATTTCCGAAAATAAATAATCTTAAAGATATTAAACTGTTTCATTTTTTCAAAACGCTACATTTCTATTGAGGAAAAAAAGGGAAGCAGCAATGACAACCGCAGACAAGCTAAGGGAGGGGATGGAGATCCCTGTGATACAGTGATCACAGTGATACTGTGATACAGTGTTGGGAACCTGCGCAGAAGGACATAGCTCTCCGTATTCGCGCTAGCTAAGCAGCACAGCTCCACCACCAGTGCGCTGACGCGCACATACGTTTATTGCCTTAATTGGAGGTGTTCGCAGTGGCTAATCCCCATTATCCAGCCGAAGAACCTGGCAAGGCAGTCTTTATAGGACCTCCCCTGTGAAGTTCCTTCTGGATCATCTTCCATACATTGGTTTTGGAACACCTACAAAACGTGGTTTACATGCGATTTAAATATTAACTTCTTCGCTTCAGTGAAAGTACTTGTTGCTTCAGAGGTCTAGGTTGCTATTGTTAGGTCACACACTGTGAGTTTGAATAAGGTATAAAAGCCTGCTAATGTGTTCCATGATCCTCACTAACATGCCATGTGAACATCTCTCTTAAATAATTTATAAATGTGTGATCATTTAATAGAAAGAAATGAGTAAAGTTCCCTTTTTCTCAAGATGGCAAAAAAAGACCTCATATCTTAAGACGATGTTGTCAAGTCAGCTTCAGTTTTTAACATAAAATGGGATATTTGTGTTCTGATTTTTTGACTTAGGTATTTGCCCTCTTGATGAGGAAGCTGAACAACACAGTAGACTCTGCAGACAGATAGGATGAATATCAAGTGTTTAAATGTGGTCTCCATCATAATGGGAAATTGTCAAACAATTTGACCATCAAAAATTCAGCTTTCTCATATACAGAATACAGATATATGTACTTGAATGGATTTTTATTAATGTTAAATGATATATACATAATCTTTCTTGTCCCCATTCCAACCCTCTATTTGTGGTTTATCTATCATTTATTTTGGTGAATAATATTCAAAGAAATGAGCTAAAAATAAAAATTTTGAGAATTAAAGCAAAAAAGGAAAAAAGAATTAAAAATAATTAGTCAGTAGTTTTTAAATAAAGTTCACCATTTGTTCTTTCATAAAGTTCATAATTTAGAAACTATACAACTGTAATATCCAATTCAACCTCAAAATTCAAATATTTCTTACAAGAAGAATACAAACTCATTTGATGGCAAAAGCGTAACTAATGACATAAGACAATATATATTTTGTGTTTTGTTACATAAACAACAGTATTTAATTCCAAAGTCAGAAGTGTCTCCAGGCTACTTGTGCAACAGAATACATCATTCTCTAAAACACAAAGTGTTCCGGATAAGGGATCGTAGACCCACTGTAAATCTACCAGTGAGGTCACTGTTACGTGGATGCTGCCTACCCTTCACCAGGGGAAGTGGATAGCATGTCATAATCGACAACGCTGCTATGCTTCATTTTGCTATTTGCTTCCCTATTGTGTTCATTGTCTGCTGTGAGACAGGGAGCATGGACAGAAGAGTGAAGAGAAAATGCCTGATGTGATGGCAAGTGCCTATAATCCCAGCAAAAGGATAGGCTGCAGAGTTCAAGGGCAGGGGTTGCTACATAGTGAGCTCAAGAATAGCCTCTGTTATAGAGATTCTTTCTGAAGATACCAAAAGTCCAACTATGATAACAAAAGTGGCACCCCAAAAGGAGAATGTGTCCTCTGCTCCCCACCAATGTGCCGTGCAAAGTCTCCCTCCTAATGATTTGTGAAAGGAGTGAGATCATTTAGTAAAGAGAAATCATTTTAAATTTAGTGATGAAATTATTAGAGCAATTCAGACCTGGAGCTCTGGAATTGGTGGTCAAATTCAAAGTAAGCAATTACTTTGTTTAACGAAACTCAGAATAAAAAAATAAAAGCTCAGGTATGAACTGCATTTGACAGAAGCACTTTTTTTGGATAATTTCTCTCTCTCTCTAGTAACTTTGTTTGAGTGCAAAGTTTTGTATTAATTCAGAGCTTTCTTTTAATTCAAGAAATTCCTTTTTGTGCAATTAAAAGGGACTAAAAGCTACTTTCTGAGAGAATCCTCTCTGCCTAGGAAATCTGTGGGAGGCTTTTTCTAGCAAGTTAATTAAACAAGAAAAGGATCTAGGCTCTGTTGAGGCATTAGCTACATGAGCTTAGGAGCCTGAGTAGCCACAGAAGCTGCAGCTCCCAGTCCAGATTTTTAGATGCTCTGGTGCTCATCCTGGGCTTCATACTGGAGTTTGACTAAATACAGGCACAGCCCCAGAGATTTGGGTTTAATTGGTCCAAGGCCTCATACAGCCGCCAGAATACAGAAAGGCTCTCTTGTTGATCCTAGTGTGCAGCCCGAGTTGAGAGCTGCTGTATCAGATCTGCTAACCCATCTGCATCGAGCCAAGTTCTACTTTCATATCCAACTGCCCGGGAAGCTTGATGTGCATTGCCCCCATCTCCAGATCTAAGCCAGTGCCTATTGCAGCAGAATCCCTGGGCTTTCATCCCAGATCTTTACGAGTTTTCAAAGTGCTATCTATATAAAAAAAAAAAATGGTCCTTGGTGCTGTAGGTATCCAAATGGTTTGTCCTCTAAGTTTTATATCCTTCCTAAGACTCAGCACTTTTCTATCTGCCATGAATTTCATCCATATTCTCAGCTATGTTCCTAGAAATATATAATGTTTAGGAATGTAAACTCCTAGCTTCCCTCATCTATCTGCACAATTTGACCATGTGAACACTTCTTGACTACTAATTCCTACATCGTCCTCACCAGCTTTAGGTCCTAATTTCTTCTCACTCACCTGGACCCCATGATGATCTGACTGTGATTAACAGCATCCCCAAACCTCTTATCCCTATGCTCTGACTTAACCTGCTGGGAAATGGTTCTCCTGTCTCTTCCGAGGTGATGCTAGGAAGTGAAGGAGGGTTTCCCCCAATGTCTTTGTCTACCACATCTGTCTCACTGCCCTCTGGGTCTGCTTGCAAAATAATGCCCTTTGTCATTATAATAGAAACTCAAAAGGCCTGAGGAATATATTACCAGCTTTTGATGGAGTGTTTTTTCAAGTTTCACTTACTATAATCCTAATAGAAATCACACTGACATTCTTAGTAACTAAAACTTATCCATAAGTTGTTCTTATGCTTCTTTTGTGCTGATTTAACCTAAATACAATCTTGTTTGTTTGGTTCCTTTCTAACCTTTAAAAATGCTTTAGATTGGTTACATAAGCACACAGCAATCCCCAGTAAAAAAAGAATATGAGGATGCAGATAAAGGAGCAAGTGCATAATAAACTCCTTTATAACCAGTTGCTGATTAGCACCCAGAATCTTGCCTGTTTCCACAAAAAATGCAGTAGTCAGTAAAAATCCAGATGGCCCACTTTGGAAATCCCTTTTCCAGGCGTGTGTGTGTGTGTGTGTGTGTGTGTGTGTGTGTGTGTGTGTGAGAGAGAGAGAGAGAGAGAGAGAGAATGTACATGTGTATCTATAATTTATGAATGAAAAATGTTTGTTAACACAAAATCTGTACATTAATTTTATGTCTTGAACCCTGTCTTGAAAAACAAAAAAACAAACAAACAAACAAAAAAAGCACCACACAGAGAACACTTCACTCTCATCAATAAAAGAATGGGCAGACAGCTTATTGAAAAGGTAAAGAGCATCTAAGGAAGAGACCCTTGATTGACTCTGGCCTCCACAGACACATACATATGTACCCCACATATACACACACATGCATGGAAAAGAATTCAAGTAATTATGATTAGAAATAGGTTCTTCTTGTTCATTTTTGTTTTATTTATCTGAATACTTCCTCCCTTCCTCTAATGTTTCTTCCTAATTTTAAATTTAAATTTAAAGCTCCTCTTTACAGCTTCCCTCTCTCCTCCTCCCTTCCATTGCTCTCTCCTACCTTCTTTTCTTTTTATTTCAGTTTTTCATATCTGGAATCCAGCTCAGGGTCTCAAGCACAGTAGACAATCGACTACTGAACTACAACCTCAGACCTGCATTTTAATTTTTAAAGAAGATATTCAAATTACTGACTTTTGCTTTTTGACTGTTTCTTTACCTAGAACAATAAATTAAAAATAAAGATTTGGTTTCATAGGACATTGGACTTGGTTTACTGTTTATTAGTAGATATTTAAAAAGTGTGACCTCTGCAGAGTGTTTTCATAGTTCTTAGATGCTCCAGACTGAGGCAATGAGGTGGACACCTCTGAACACTTCTGTGTGTACGAATGCACATGCTGCTGAGACAAGATTGCTCACCCAGCATTCCACCATCGCTTATTCTTTCCTTAACTAATGACTGAATGAATCATATCTGCCTAAGCTACACTCATCACCCCCATGCCATTCAAAAGTAATTCTCAGAAAGATGCTTTTATAGAAGGCTGCTGGATAACTGGGGAAAAAGGCCTGCCTGTTATTCTTATACCTTGTATAATATGATTCATATATTGTGTAGAAAAATAAATACTGAACACACAGACATGAAGAAAAAAAGCAATAATTTAAAACCATGGCACAGGACACCAGTGTATCCAGTGTCTAGTTAATCCAAAGGATGTTAATAGCTGCTGCAATTCTTCTTTTTTCTCATTGTTTAAAAGTTTTTTCAAGCAATACATTTTAATCATATTTCCCTTCCACAAACTCCTTCCAGATCCTTCTCAGTTTACTATACACCTAACTTCATGTTCACTCTATCATCTATCTATCTATCTATCTATCTATCTATCTATCTATCTATCTATCTACATATATCTATCTATCTACCTATCTGACTATCATCTATCTAACTATACATCTATCTACCTACCTATGTATACACCTGTCTATATCAATCTGCCTATGTCTAGCTAAAAATAAGCAACAACAAAAACTAACAAACTCACATAAAAGAACAACAACAAAAAAAGAAACAAAAATCAACACAAATAAACAAGAATAGCCCAGGAATAGATGACTGCTGCAATTTATTTGTCTCCATTTTCTTTTTAAAGCAAAATAAAATATATGAGAATAGCATGTAAATTTTGTTTTTTAAATTAGTTTTAATACATGCTCAAAACTCACCTTAAGTGCCTAAAGTGTTAACTGATTTGCTCCCACTGACTACTGCAACATCTGATCACTACAAAAGCTGTCTTAAGTGGTCCTATAAACATTACATACCATTCAGCAGCTCCACGAAACAAATATATTTCTCATAGAAATGTAATCAAATCTTAAATAGATGGCCGGTTACTCATGACAACACCCTGAAACTTCAAAGAAATTTCTCATAGGGAGCACTGAAGTGTATAATTATGTTTGTCTAGGTAAGAAACTA